CTGTACCCCTTAGTGATGGAGAGGCACTAATCATGTCTGCATTTTGTACAAAAAGAGCCAGTTTTAATAAAAATTTGGGGTTTAATAAACCCCACATATTCAAGTTCTACTATAAATGATAAAAATGGTAGTGCTGGGTCCCTTTCAACCAATGTCCTGAAATGGTATGTTTCACAAACTTCTATAGTACAGAAAATATATTACTGATAATACTACAGCATCTTTCAGACTGGATCTGGCATTTTTATAGATTAAAGATAAAATTAGGTAAATGAGACCCACAGTTACTATGTGAGCTTATCACAGTGATTTTGTGAAGATGTGAAAGAACCAAGAAAGGTCCACAAAGCTCCTGTTAACATAAAGGCTTTGCTAGATGCTAGAACAGATTGCTTAGCTTCCATTTCTGCCTTTTATCTAAGACAAGACAGAAATAGAAAACATTCAAAAATTTTCATTTACAATCCTTGTAAATCAAAAGAACAAACATCAAGAGTAGCAAAATAGAACTTAATCTGGGATCAGGAAAGAAATATTAAAGCAGAAAGTGAAAGAAGCTTGTTGGCAGGGTAATAAATTGGTTTATATTTTAATATGAATAAAAATCTTAATATGAAGGTATAAATGTAGGATCTATAGATATGGATCAGGTTTAATAATTAACTTTTCCTATGGATCTCTAGTGGCATGTAAACACCATGGTAATTAGTATGCTATACATCATAGCTAACTAGTTAGATTGTTAAGAGCTTTGGAGAACTGCTTTAAATTGTGTTTTCTCCATAGCATCAAAGAATCATGGACAAACTGAGCTAAAATTAGCTTTCAGGGTGATTCTTAGACAATAAAACAAAAGACACTTTATAAACACATCATAGTCCTAACACACTTTTACTGTCAAAGCCTTTTGCCTGCAGCAAGAAACACTGTTCTTTAAGTGAAGCTGCATCTGTACAGAGTTCAAATGAACACAGAACTGAAAAGTAGAGAGCTCTGATTCCAATAAAAAGGAATGACTGTTTTGGCTTCATAATACGTTTTCCAGCCCTAACTTTAATCTAAATCAAATGCCCATCTTTCTTGCTGTTCATGCAATGCAACCGCAGCACATGCTTAAGTACAGGAAAATTGCAAGTGCCTAACTACGTCAAATTGTACTTCCATCTAGTCTGGAATATACATCAGGCAGAGGATAATACCTCCTGTTTAAGCAGGCAGAAACTATTCTCCATCACTAATTCATTTAGAAACTGTTCCATGGATCTAGCCAAACAGCTGCTGGGCATGGAGATCTGGACAAGTAAACAGGTCTTTTCTGTTTCTAAACTCAGAAATCTTCCTCCCAAATAGTACAGCAATGTCAGAGACTCTTCACAATGCTCTGCTAGCAGGTCTGGCATCTACCAGATACAGAAACTGCTGGAAAAGTATTTGGATAGCAACATACCTCACGGTATTAGCTCTGCCATAATCTTGCTAGAAATTAGCCCTCCAAGGCAGAGTTTAATGGTATATGGACCCCGTCACATCCCAGCAACAACCATGAAAATTTTCCTTTTTTAGGTGTCTATTGAATGGACAGTCCTAAAACAGGGGATTTAATTTTAAAGTGATGTCTCTTCATGACCTCCTGGAATAGCAGGGCAGTTACAAGCTGCTCAAAGAGGCTTTTGATTTCAATGGTTCCATCATTTTAATGTTATAGCCCTGATCTACCCCTGTTTTTCTCTTCAGTGCTCTCACACCACAAGACAAGCTTCTGCCGAGATTTGCATAAGCCATGTGTGCACAAAACACTGACAGGCATTGTTGCCACCACCTCACTGTGGTGTCTGAATATTTGAAAAGGTGGCAACAAGTCAATCAAAAGCTGTTTAATTCAAATAAAAACCAGCTTCTGATGTTTAATACACCCTGTTATATTTTGTTTGTCATTATCTCTCTAGACCAGTGACTCACTCAGCCCTGTAAAACCTTCAGCTTGATCACAGTGTGGACACATGATACCAGACATTCAGCTGTCATGGACGTCTACTAATGCCTCCTCTCCTCTTCTTTGAAACAGCTCAGTGAGATAAATGCACCTCAGACTGCTAAATACCATAAAGACTTACATAAAATAGTAGAAACTCTGCCTTTTAGCCTCAAACAAACGATTTAGTAAGTGCTCCAGATGAATTTCAAAACTGAACTGGCTTTAGCAAAGAACTTCAGAAAGGACACAATGCCTTGTTGTTTCCATATGGCTCTGCCTGCCCCAGACAGTTGCCCATCACAGTTGTGTCTGAGCATCTGTCACACAAAAAGTACTGCTCACAGCAGAGTCTCTCATGTATCTCTTGATATTTGTAGCTCCACACACTTCTGCAGGAAGGTAAGGCCTGCAATGTGCTATTATTCTAATGCCATATTCTAATATTCTCATATTCTAATATTAGTGAAATATTCTAACATTTAAACAGAGGATGGTGATGTGTCTGATGCTGTGAGGAACATTCTTAAGGCCTAGATACTATTCTGAAGGATTGCCATTAACCAATCAGTGTACAAATAATTAGATTACATGCCAAGCCGCTGCCATGGGGCTTGATCCAAAGCCCATTCACTCAAATGGGAGCCTTTCCAATGACCTCAGTTTGCTCTGGAGGATGAAAATGGTCATTAAAAAGATAATTTCTGTGGTTGTTTTAACTAACAAGAGCAGACAGAAAGTATTAAAGTTCCCAACACTCATGAGCTGTTATATAGATTAGACCTTATACTCATGATTAAGTTATATCTTACCATTCACATTGTCCCCATGACATCAAAGAGAGCAAGATACTGCTTAAATGAGAAACAGTATCTGTAAGAAAATGCAACTATGCAAATATAGGGGGGAGAAAAACATAAAATTGGAGAAAAAGAGCAATTTGTTTTGTAAACAGATTAGGCTATTTAAAAGAATAAACAAGGTCCTCTTAAGAACTGCGCAGTTTATATCAGAATGCAAAATGTCTCAGCTTAACTTAGTGAAAGTACAAACATTTTGACTCCCTGATTAATTTTTTTTCTTTTGGGTTAGGTGATACAAATCTCATCTGCAACTTGACAGGATGTAAAAAATAATTACAAATGAAAAGGTTATTCATAATTTTTAAATGAGTTAATTAGTAAACCCCGCCAGAGTCACTCATTACAGTAATTAATAATTGATTATACTTGAAATTAAACACAATTTTTCATCAAAATCTAATTAAATATCTGCCTTTTTGCTTGTTGATTAGAACACTGGGTCTGGTAGAGACAATCTTTGCTAAATATGTTTATGCTGAGCTGAACCATCGAATTTGATTTTTAATAATTGATAGTTCCTTTAGAAATTAGTAATTATGACCCATAATTACAGCAGTTCAACCTGATAAACATTTCTGGCACCTTGCCAGCCATCCATGGAGTCTAGTGAATGCCACAGAATTCATCTGAATGGAGACAAAAAAAGGATGGGAGGGCACTCAGTGGACCTACCATTTAACAACACTAACTGTGATTTTAAGCAGGAGCGTGATCTTTTGAGAACACTGAAAAAGGGAGCTGAGTTCAAGAATGAGTGGCAAACCCAACTCCTCTCAATCTATCAAATAACACGCACATCCTCCTTCAGAATTTACAGGCACCTCTATGCTGAGTTATAATGATTCTCCTCTGACACACTGAGATAATGTCCAAAGGAGCCATGTTCGGGGCATAAGGAGAATACCAGACAAATGAGAAAGGTGAGTCCAAATGTACATAGCAAATGATGAAAACTGACTGCATATTTCATCAAACTGCTGCTGATTTAATGTTGGTTAATTAATCATTCCTGCTCCTCTTACAGGAGACATAAAAGTGACCAGAATATGAGCAAGGCAGAAGTGGAAAAGTATCAGTCATTAAAGAAGTGTACATAAAAGGAACACAGTAAAAGCAATCCTTTGTGGTAGTGCTAATTATACTCACGTGAAATAAAAGCAAAAATCTTTCAATCCAGACTAAGATTTGTAACTCTAACCACAACCTTTTATAGATCATTAGTGTACAGGAAGTCGCAGTGAAATCAAAAAGACTCATTTGTGCCATGAGAAATGGGCTTTTTTACCCATGACCATATCTAAAAGCGTCTGACAACTAGAGCTTGCACCACTGACAGTTTAACATAGAAGTCTAGGAATGGACTTTTGTAAGACATTTATAACACAAATATCACATCTGACTGAAGAAAAAGTAATGCTAACACTACAACTTTACGGGTTTAAAAATACAATTCTCACTTCTAGTAGTTCAACTACTTTTGCAACATACAGAAAGAATGCTGTTTTTCAATGAACACTGACAAGCCTCACAAACAAAAGAAGTTCAGATCATGCACAGTGCAAGAAAAATCCACTGCTTCTCCACCTGAGAAGCAAATTTCACCTGCTTCCCCTATTCTAAACAGCCTCTGTTGAACCACAATGTAAACCCAGTCCTTCTTCATCCTCCTGGTCATCCTGTGAACTTCAATATAATTGCTTACATGTCACTAAAATGGATGTGTCACCAAATGATAGAATTAAAACACATTTTTGTGGATCAGAATCTTGGTTCTGACCCTGTCCCATCAAGGTCAACTCCCATGGACGTGGATGTGACTGGGACACAGACTTCACCGTCTGTTTTAATGGGCTGCTTAGAGAAAACCTGGTGGGTTTGTCTCACTCCAGGTACACTTTCCTCTGCAGGATATAAACAGTCCATGACATTGAAGGGAGCACAATATATGACTCACGTTTTACTAAGCTCTTCTGGCTCTATGACATATGTTAAGCTTCCTACCATAACACTGCATAACGCTGCAACCACAATTAAGTCAACAGAGGCCTTATTTCCCTACCACTCTGTACCACAGTCTTGACCCTTTGCTTCCCAAACATTAGCACTATGGGAGGTTTGTAGAGAAATGAAATAAAAAGAAGAAAAACAAACAGAAATGAGCTTACCTATGAAATAGGCCAGCAGGATCACCAGCGTGACTGAGATGACAATAGCACTCAGAGCAGCACATTTCCAGTTACAGTACTTATAGGGTTTCTTCAGGTTAAAGGCAGGCCTAGAAAAGGTACTTCTGGGAAGGGGCCTAGGGGGAGGTGAGTACACAGTGCTGGACGTCAGGGGATATCCCGGCGATGTTGTACAAAAAAGGGGAGAAGTGCCTCCAGGTTTGAACAGGAAGTGCCTGAGGGAAGAAAGACCAACAGCAAGTGACTCCTCAGACAAATCGATGCCAAGGGAGACGTGGGGTGGGAGAATGGCGACTACTGCCAGGACGAGGAAAGCAGCTTCACAAAATGCTGGCTACGGACATGAACGGCATGCACAAAAGAGAAGAATAAAAATCAAAGGCAAGTCACACAGAGTAAAGGAAAACAAAACCAAACAAAAAATCACAGTGCCAACAATGCCACAGAGAACTCTTCAAGGGCAGGAGTCCCCTCTGTGGAAGAGCTGGCATTAGAGTGAGATGAATATCCCAAGCACAGCTACGACAGACTGGTGGCACGGGCAGAACTGGGAGCCTGCTCACACTCCCACAGAAATGTCCTACAGAGGCTGAAGAGGAGTGTAGGTCAGATTAAAGAGGGGGGCATTTATCTATTCACTGATCACTGCATGAGAGCGTTTTTTGTGTGGTATCGGTGAACGGAGATGGGGAAAGAGAGCTTAAGCCATTCCAGAGCACCCAAATTGTCACAGAGGGGAATATTCACACTGTCCCCACACAGCAAATTTAAGTACTGGACAATGGCATGGCTAAAAGCATCAGAGTCCTGTATATCGCTAGTGGGGAGAGGCACCTGCTTCCAGAAAGCAGTCCAGAGCACCTTAGTTTGATGCCTACCTTTAAAAAAGTGTGAATTACTGTCAAAGACAACAGTATTTCCTGTCCAGTGACATTGGGAGGCACCGTATTTTGCCCATTATGACAAATGCAGCCTGAGCGCCAGCCTATGAGCACCTCATGCGAGACTCATGAAAGTCAGCACAAAAAGAACACACTGAAGTTCATGAGTTCCTGAAATGATATGTCCCAGTGGGAGTTCTGTCCACAGGAATCCTAAATGAAAAACCTGATTTTGGTGGGACGTCGTGATGTACAAGGCATTCAAATTCTGGGAATGAAACCTGGGAAATGGATCTGACTCATCTATCACCATGCTGATGTGAAACAAAAATGTAGCTTGTGAGGACTGAAAAACAGCCCCAATGCACTTTGCACATTCTGCCATGGTTTATGGGGCCAGATTTGCAGCCAGAGCAAATGCAATCAGCATGGATCCTTGAGAGTCAGTCAAGCCAGTGGCTAATACCAGATGAAGATGTGACTCTGTTTTCCCCATGAAGTCACTTGTGCAGTCACAGCGGGAAATGTCACATACAGAAACATCACCATGCAGAAAAGCCACTAGTTTGTGCAGTAAAAAGCAAAACATAATTCTCCAAAATAGATGTTTGTAGTACTACAGCCATGGTTTTATTGTTACTCTAAGCATGACTGCTGAGCATTAGAGAAAGATCTTTTATTTCTACTAATGCTCTACATAAAAACATTGATTTTTACAATAAGTCAGATACTATCCTGTGTTTTGAAAAGTATTTATTTAGACAGAAATGTATCTGTTCTGAGCAAAGAGGTACCTGCAGTGTTCAAGCGCACCAAAAAGATCTGTAAATAATGGCTAGCAAATTAGAAACTGCCAACACAAGGTTCAACAGTTTCGGCACTAAGTATCAAGTTAAAAGCTGATTATAACTTAAAAGTCAAGTGATCAAAAGTTAAGTGAAGATGCCAGAATGGGTGGGTAAGTCAAACTCAAAGGCTTGGCTTACATAAACCACTAGCAGACACTTGTCAGATAAGGTATGTGGAAGACATCAGTTTAATAATGAAGTATCAGGCTGCCTGCACAATAATGGTTTAAGATTTTTATGAAAATTAAATTAATCTTAGTTAATATGGGACTTGAAATTGCTGTAGGTACTTCTTACTAATGAAATGACTTTCAAAACAACAAGGGAAGAAAAAGCAAATGGCATGCTGTGGCTCACCAGCATATTAATGAGTCTGCCATTAATATGTACAGGACACAATGCTCCAAGCCCCAGAACTTCATTTTTTCAAAGCCATCTTGGAAGAGGGCAGCAGTGGTGTTGCCTTTAAACATCACTGATATGACCAAATGCTTTCATGCAAGGATCATAATGACTGTACAGTAAACAGGAAGACCACGTAAGTGTCACATACCCATCATTGTAAGCACCGTCATGTCGGGAGGAGGTGAGAATGTCCATCTCAATGAGGTTGTCCTGCAATGTCTCTAGGAATGTCTGCTTTGCTATGTTTCTACATACATATGGAAACATGAATGAAGCCAGTGAGTCATGCATATATGAAGTGTGATTTTATAAACCACAATGGTTATAGTGCAGTTGTGAATGGAATTAGAATGATAGACCATATATTTATATGTATAAGAGGCTACACATATACATATATAGCTTTTAAGAATGTTCACTTCTTTATATATACACTATATATATATGCATATACACACATATAAGCACACACGCCCATGTGCATGTATAAAAAAAAGTTGATGTTTTTGCTCATTTCACATTATTTATTGCCAGTGACACGTGAAACCTTCGGAACTGCTGGATTCAAAGGAGTAGATTTCAATCCAGCACAGCTGTAATCTGGTTATACTCTTCCATCTATATTACTGTTACTCTGAAAAGGTACAGCACAGTATCTATATCCCACTTGGGCCAATACTTTGGTAGCACACTTGCATCTAACATTCTTATGGATTTCTAGCAAAAATCTGCCACTCCTTTGCTTTAGTTTCAGTTTTGGATTTGAAGAACATTTTAGTTACCAATTTGATTAATTTGTTTTCCTTTGTGGAGCAATAACTTCCTATTTAGAAGTCTCAAAATGCAAGTTTTGCTCAATATGAGTATTCCAAGGAAAGTCTCTCAGTGATAAGCAGATAGAAGCTAGAAACAGGTTAAGTTGTAACCCAAATTCCAATGCGAGAGTATTGGCTATAATCTGGCTATAAACAGGCAATAAGCAAGATACCTTGCTTATTTCATGCCTGCACATGAAAATGCCTGGGATTGACCTTGCACACAATAGCGGCACTTTGCAGTATCTGTCCTCCCCAGCATGAATCACATTTTAACCTATAAATGGTGAACTGTTTTGTACTTTTTGAGGAGAATAGTAGAACATAAAGAATTAAGTCAGAGGCACAGCTGGGAACAGACTGTGTCTTTCTCACCTTCAGGCTTGTTTCTCAGGACCTGGCAAAAGAACATTCTTCCCATGTTTTTTAAAAAAAACACAGTCCTGATTTTGCCCATGTCTGCTTTTAGCATCAAAACTGAATCTAGACCTGAATGTGAATAAATCTCCTGGCCAAAACTAGAAAAAAACCCCAACAAACCAAACATAATAGCATTGTGACACTTTATCACTTACACAGAATTAAGAGCTTAGAGGATGTAACTGACATAAACAAGAATTCCTCTGTCAGAGAAACTGGATTCAGGATAACATGCTAAACCATGAGAAACCAGTCCTGTCACATTACACAAACCTTGATACTGTCTCTTCTATAATGTCCTGAACTTTAATTTTCATTTCTAATCCCTCCTCTTCCTGCTGCTTAATGCCAGCACTCATTTAGCTCAACTCTCTGCTTTTGGAGGCCTCCAGGCTGCTTTGACAGTACAGATCTACTCCTTTATCTAAATAAAAGTGAAGTGACTCCTATTCATAGCTTTGGAGTAAAGTGGATCAACATGCATGAGCTGTGTGCCATAGCACTTGAGACATCCATCCATCCCCAAGTGTTCGCGGCTTCCTCACATTCCCTGGGAATGCAGGAAAGGCTGGATGTTGAGTTCAATGCAAAAAGAAGCAACATATGTGCATGCACTGAGCATTTAATGAGTAAGAGGCAAGGCTTCTAGCAACACACCAATCAATAAAAGTTCATCAGTAGTTAAAATCCATGTCAAATTGGTTCCATGAATTTCAGTCGTGGATTGTCAATAAAACAGAAGAGGGGAGGGTTATATAATCTCATAATGTATGCATCTGTAACAGAGAGGTCGCTGGGTCACCAAGGTGACTGATGCATGACTGTCCTCCTCACTGAAGGCTGGACAGGGTCTGCTCCCTTGGAGATCACCTGTGAATCGCTGGCTAGTTACAAAACACTCTCCTTTCTCATTAGGAGTTGTGGTGGCAGAAATCTGACCTTACATATTACCACACGAAATTTCCTGGGAATGGAAGTCTCCTGAAAACTGCTGGTTTGTCAACTAAACGTTCACCTAGTTGGCATTTATTTGTTCCCACATGGTCAAAGGTAAAGGAACAGAAAGGAGGCCACAGGAAAAAGAAGACTGAGGAATAAATATGGGGGGAACTGACTTACCTGTCAGGAGTGACTGCTGAGCAAAGATCTTCTCATCACAACCTTGATAATACATGGCTTTTAAAGCAACAAAAAAGGGAGCAGACAGGAAAAGAAAGAGGAGAAAGGAGAAACAGAGAAAAGGGAGTAAAGGGAAACTAATGAAAAGGAGGGAGAGAAGAGGAGGGGCTCTTCCTCTTGCAACATATAAAATCTCAGATATGCTTATCCTGTCAGTTGAATACTTGTGCTACACATCTCTGCTTGCCTTTGCATTACGGTATGGAAATTTCCAGGCAGTGACAAACCATTCTAAATTCCCAGTTCTGAATACTGCCTGAAGTCCATGGCAGTCAAAATCAAGTCTCTTCAAACTCTGGGCTGCTTAAAGTCTGTAAGTGCAGGCAAGTCTGTAAGTGCAGGCAAGTTTCACAGCCTGTGACAATCCCTGTTTAAAAGATGCAGCTTTTTCTTCATGTTTTCTCTCTCTCTGTTGACCAATATGGAATTAAAAAAAACCTACGGATATTCAACAGAAATACAATTCCATTTTCGACATGAGATTACTATAATCTCCTAACTTCAAAAGCCTTAATTCTTGGATTAATGTCTCTGGGCCAGGATTTATATTTTTACATACTAAGTATTTTATTCTCTTAGGTGATGGTCTTTTTTTTTTTTTTGGTTCTAAAAATCTTTGTAGTGGGGCAGATCAGCTTCATGGAAGAGGTGGAATTGGACATCTGAGTCCGCTAACCAGCTCTGAAGCTTGGTCTTTTATGCCTACAGAATTCCCATTGAGAGAAATGGAAGACCTCTGCATGTCAGAAGAGTAGACTGTCAGAGTGGAGGAGATTAGTCACAGATTTACTGTTCATCTATGCAGCACAGCCTCCTCGCTTTATGACACCATAATAACACATTTTATTTTCTTAATGCTGCATAAGTGAAGAAACAGTCAGTCATGATCATTTGCTATTTGGCATAAAATTACACATTATTTTCCAAAATACTTGTTGTCTAAAGGAACACTGGGCAAAATTATGCCATTTCAAGCAACGTGTTGAAAGCCTCAACATCAGTCTTGAAATAACCTGTTTTCTACCAAATTAATAAAATGGTTAGATTGAGGATCAAGTACAAATGTCACTGATCTGTGATGCAAGTGAAATCATTAAATGATGCAGAAAGTGCACTTCCAGTCTGACAGCAATAAGGGGACCAATCCAACCTGCAGAAAGAGCAGTCTGCTTCAGATCTTGAATAAATTTCACCCACAATTGTTTCACAGAGAATAAATGAGGACAGCCCTTAAGGATGTACTAATTTACAATTTAACAGGAACAGTCTAGGACTAGCCAGATAATTGTTCTCTCTGTGAACTCCTGCATAAGATGTGGTAGAGTTGTCTCTCCAGCACTCTCTGATTGCCATCAGAATTGGACAAATGGACATATAGTGTTTATAGCAAAGAATTTTTATTTTTGACATTTCTCCACTGGTCCAGCACCAAGGACATTCCTTCTCAGTTGTAATGTGGTGGGTGCTGAGACATTGCAGTCAGATGTGAAGATGTCTTTGCACTACTAAACCAGTATTATCTCTTCTACAAAGAATTTACAACCCAGTTTAGAAAAAGGTACAGGGTTTCTACCATAAATAAGGAGCATTATCTCAGAAGGGCTCCAGGAGTGGCACCTAAGTTTTTTTAAAATACGATTTTAAGAAGAAATAACACATAAAACTCTGCTTGGGTATATATGCTTGAGAATTAGTAACATAATATAATTACTGAAACTGTTGTCAAATCACACTTGCATTACTTGCTTATAATTTTGTCTTAATCTTTTGGATCCAGTTCTTAGTTGAGTATTCTTAATCAAGACGTCGCAGAGAAATTAATTATCTTTAAATGCCATAAAATGTGATATTGAGGTCTGTTTTGGAAGTTTCAGAGGGCCAGCAGACATAGCTCATTCTCACAAAGATTGAGAAGTGTTCATTTTTAAAAACATTCTTTTAGCAGAAGTTGGCAAAACTGGGTACAATTTGTCCCAGGACACAGACACAGCTATTGCTGTCTCAATGAGATTTCCACAGGCAGCAATGGGACAAATTTGGCCCCTGTCTCAGTTTTCAGTTACTGTATGTTTTTTGCTGTCTAAAATCTTGTTGGTTTGAGAAGGTTAGACAAATGAAGGAAAAAAGACAGTTGAGTAAATGCACCAGGTTTTAGGCTTGGAAGACCTCTCCAGATAGAAAAAGGCACCATGACTGCAGCACCCCCACTGGCTTCTCAGTAGCAAAGGAAATGGTGAAGCAAAACCTCAGGAGAATACAAGTGTGACAGCACTTCCAGATGGAAGGAATGAGGTTGAGGTAGTATGGGAACTCTTTTTTCCAGAACCTACAGAGAACCTGAACAAAGCTATGAACTAGAACAACTCAGTGCACCCTTATCACACCCTTCATGTGCTGCTTAGGTGGAACAGAACTTAAGAGCTAAATGGAAGCACCATTAACTGACTGATGCCCTGCTATCCAGTGTTTCTTGCTTGCTGAAGCAATGTTGTAAGACAATAAGACCCAGCAGCTGACCTCTCCTCATTAGGTAAAACAAGATCAACTTTTCCTGAATGATGTACTGCAAAAGTACCTGCTTGACCAGGCACAGCTAGAAAGCTAAATCTTTTCAATATACTGACTGATTTCAGGTTTTTAAATAGGATATTGATTTATCCTACCACATAGGAAGAAAAGACATTAAAGGAAAATAAAAGAAAGAAAACAAAGAACATTTTAATCTATGATCCTGATTCCAATTTTAAATGAGGAAAATAACCTTATGAACAGCTGTTAAAGACAATATTTTAGTTTATGAAAGAAGAGCAATTTCCTCTTCTCCTAGTCCAAATAAAAAGACACAAGGAATAATAAATACAACTCAAAATACATAAGTCAAACACCAGTTCACAAACTAGAAGGCTAGCTCTACAGATGTGTGTATTTTCCATGACATCCTTAGCACACACAGTCAGAACATTTTAAGTACTAAAGAAAGTGACCTACCTTGTCTCCAGTGGGATGTTACTGTTAAGTAACCAGTTGTCCTGAGCATGGGCTGGCTCTTGAGTAGTGGCTGGTTGTTCTCCAGAAAGAGAGTGGTCCGTAGGAGCTGGGCTGGGGTTGCTGCGTGGAGTGAAGTTCCCTCTGTTTAGGGAATTGATGGAGGCTGCATGATGCTGATTTGGAGTGTGAGCATGTGATATTGGAGGTGGTGGAGTTCTAAGTCTTGAATGATTTTGAAGATTTGGAGGATGATCTAAAACATAAGTAAAATACTTTTAAGGTTCATGATTTGAGTGGTTCCATACTGCATTAATTTATGTGCAGGCACTTCTAAAAAGTACGAAGGCTGGGATGCCATATATCCTAAATCAAACTCAAAAGGGTAACACAGACTTGTTCCATATGTTTTAATGACACAGCATTGATCCCTCAGCCAGGAGCTAGAAAAATAGTTCAGTCTCATGCACAAAAGTTATGAAAGTTTAAAGCACTGCAGATAGGCTGTCCTGACAGCCAAGTTAACTCCAATGAACAACTGCAGGTTGCAAACTGCAATCTATCTATGACACTGATTTGTGATAAAGCATGAAAAATACAACCAGTCTGGATAGATAACACATTAGAGCCATTTTATGATGGATATACAGCTCCCAGAGAAGTCTGTTCTGCCTGTTTTGCCTGAGAACTTTCAATAGTTAAGTCAACAAGAAGACTGAGAATATATTTAATCACAGACTGAGTTTAGGGAAAGCCATAAAAGCATGTCAGGGTTATACAATTTAACAAAATCCAATAGTTTGTACTGTTAAAGACGTACTCAAACTGAGTTAAAAATGCATGTGGTATAAAAACTAAGGTGTCAGGAAAATGAAACAACATATGGTGAAGAAAGACGTAAAGATCAGATACGGCTACTTTGAGTAAAACTTGAAATATTTCTTAGCCAGGAGACTGGGGCAGGTAGATCGAGGAAGGCTAATACTTTGGAAAGACCAATCTAGTGCTGAGTACATTTGTATTTTTACTTTTTTTTTTTTACTAACCATAAAAGATTTTTTTCATGTTTTCTGGAAATGAAGAAAAACTAAACTATTTGATGGAACTGGAGGGAGATTGACAGTTCACCACACTGCACATGGGATACAGGAAACATATACCTCTCTGATTTCAGTAGGTTTATGCTCAAAAGTCATTAATACTGCGCACTAGGACATAATGCCCAGAGAGATTGTGGAGTCTCCCTCACTGGAGATATTCTGGATGCAATCTGTGCCATGTGCTCTAGTATGACCCTGCTGGAGAAGGAAAGTTGGACCAGATGATGCATTGTGGTCCCTTCCAACTCTACCCATTCTATGACCCTGTGATTCTGTAATACACAACACCTATGTGATGCCTTACCTTAAAAGAATGTCTATCCTATCAATCTAATACTTACCAGACAGACTTCTGTATCATGAAAAATTAACATGCATTTACTCTCTAATTAAAGCCCTCAGAACTGAGTTAACTGTATGCAGCCATAAATTACAATGAATGGTATCAAACATTTAATGATACTTTTGAAATTTGGATTAGGACTTGGATTCGGGAGAGGAACATAAAGAGCATTCACAGTATCTCTATACCTTCTCAGATAGTTAGACACATTAGAAAAAATATGGAGATTTGTGAGACACAGCCATCCTCTCCCTCCTCAACCTGTATTGATTCAGATACCTCATCATTAACTATGGCTGATGACACCAGAACCTCAGGGGTGCTTGCGGTGGTCTAGCAAAAAAACAGGTGTTAATTACAAAGGTGCCATTTTTCTGATTTAACATGTATTTACCTCTGCCTTTGTCAGGTTAGACATGGGACCAGCGGTATATATTCCATAGGGAGAACTGAGTGGTTTTAGGGTCTAAATCCATTTTACCCTATACCCTGAGAAAGGTCAGACAAATACCTTAAAAGTGCTGTTTTCTCTATTTTATGTCAGTATTATCAGAAAACAACAGGCTCAAAAAAAGAGGTCTATACTGGTCATTTATATTTGGACAGACAGATTCTTCATGGGAATCTAAAGAACTATTCAAAAGTCTGACTTAGCAAAGCTCAATCAAAACTAATAATGCCATCCTGGACTCTGAATTAACAGTAGCTCTGACAAATTTTGCACATCAGCCAGCAAATTAAAGGGAAGAGTAATGAGTATAGACAAGAAATATCAGAACCAAACCAGATCTGATCTCAGCTCTGCAGCACCATGTGAATCAAGATGCCCAGTCATCCTTGGACTGGATACTACTGGGGACTGGTGTTTAATTGAAGTCATGGAGGTAATAAAAAGAACAGTGGAAGAATCCTGCTGCTGGCTCAGTTAAATTAGTGACCCTTTTCCCACTCAACAGACAGGAATCAAGGCAGGAACAGTTTATTAAATCCAGGCTGAGGGAGATGAACATAAATAGAGGGTTTCCAGCTTTTAGGGCTGTCAGTCTATCACCATTCAAAAGAACATAATTCAGCCCAGAGAAAATGACTTGTCTTTTCAGGAGCAACATACCAGAGGTTTCCAAGACCAGCCATTCAAGTTGTCATTACAAGCCTGAGATGAATACTCTGTGCAATCAAGAAAGGGGGTAAATGGGTAGATCCTGGAATATGCAAAAGATGCTCTGTGAAGTTCTTCTGCCATTGGATGACTTTGCTTACTAGAGACACCATTTTCACATTGTGAGTCAGAGCCTGCTTTCAAAGATCTGCTATGTAAATTCCAATTTACACCCTATTATTGCAGACACATTGCAGATGCTATTATGGATAATGCTTTCGAATCAAGTAAAAATGTGCCATTTTCATTCCCTATTTGCATATCCTCTGTGATTTCTTTGCTAAGTAAAGACAGCACATGTATCTTACTTCAGTCTATGTGATTTTTCACAGGATTTTATAGCTTGTATTTCTTTTTTTCTGACATTTAGGTAGCTTTTCCTTCCAGAATGTTTTTAATTTCTTTCATATACAAATTCTTAACACTTATGTCATGTCTGAGCATTACTGCATTTAATATATCTTGACTAGAATTAGTCAAGATGTATTAGACTAGAATATAGACTAGACTAGAATTAGCCTTACAATCCCCTTTTTATTGTCTTCTTCTCAAGCTAAGGGACATTAGAAATAAAGTGTAGACAAAAGTACAAGTTATGAAATCTTCCTATGGAAAATTACTGCAGCTGCGCAGAATTTTTTTTTGATGCAAAAAGACCTATTAAGGTTCTTACTCTCTGTGGTCACCAAACATCCTAAGGGATTTGGAAAGGATAATGGAAGCCCACAAAACAAATTCTTTCTTGATTTCCTAAAATTTCAACTGTCTCCTTATTTGAACATGCTTGGAGAAGCTGTGGATGTCCCATTCCTGGAAGTGTTCAAGGTCAAGTTGGATGGGGCTTCGAGCAATGTGGTCTAATGAAAGGTGTCCCTGCCCATGGTAGGAGTGTAAGGACTGGATGATCTTCAAGGTTCCTTCCAACCCAAACCTGTGATTCTATGATTCTGAGATTATTAAGTATATCCACAATGTTTGAGTGATATAAACTGTGTGGTTATATTTCCCCACAGGAAGAAGAACCTTAATGCTGGCTGCAACGGCTCTTTTACACTATGTCTGTGCATGGATCTTATATACTGGGATGATGCTCTGATCATCCAGCTGTGTATTATATATGAACCCTGTATATTTATATCTTCTTAGGCAGATTGAATTTTTACAGATCCCACCCTGTAGGCAGGACACAGGGGAAGCCTGATAAAGTTTTCTACATCTACCAGAAAGCCTTATTGGGAAAACAGCACCACATGATTTCAGAAGACTTTATAGAGGAGCAGGACATCGGGGCCACTGCACAGATTGTACAAGACCCCCCAAGACCTTTCTTAACCAAGTATAAGATGGCTAACTGTGACTATTTTTAAGTTATCTTGGCTTACTCCAAAAGAGTTAATTTTCAACATTTTCATTCTAGGCATTTTCCTCTTTGCTTTCTAAAAAGACACAGACTTTATCATCCGCTGTCTACTTGCTGTTCCAATGAAAAACCTGGCATATGTTAGTCAGAAGGATCAGCTAAAATAACAAAATACCAAGTAATAAAACAAACACCTTGTAAAACACCTCTATCCCACCCACCCAAATTTCTGATAGTTTAGAGTCAAGCAATACAGTTTAAGGATGATTTTTGCCTTGAAGGGACAGCAAAAGAGAACTGTCAATAACAAAGGAGCCCCCCCAGTCTTAGACACCAGGTGCCAATGAAAGAGCATCCCAGAGATAAAGTTCAACATTTCTAGAAGATAGGCTGGCAATTGTGAAAGTCTAAATAGCCCAGAATTTAATGAATGCCCCATAAGCCTCATTTTCTCTAATGGGTATCCAAAGTGTGTCTACTATAAAATATGTCTGTATTCAAACATAATGAAACTTTGGAAATCTGAATGCAAAAAACCACCAATAGAAATCAAGTTGCTTTTATGGTTTTTAATTGTTTTGTTTTGTTTTGTTTTGTTTTTGTTTGTTTGTTTGTTTTGCTGTTGTTGTTGGTTTTGTTTGTTTGTTTAGTTTTTGGGGGTTTTTTTTCCTTGTTTTTTGACATTAAAATGTCATTGATTAACACTGGCTTGGTAAGCACAGATAAAGCTCAGCTGAAAAATAACACAGTTAATGAAGCTTGTACTTGATGCACATTAGAGAGCCTTGACAGAATCCTGTGAATGAAGAACTGAATAAATGTGAACCATAAAAAATTACCAAGGAGGAGCTAATATGGCAAAATTTCAATAAAAGGTCTGAACCTCATGTTCCTTTTCTCTCCCTTAATTGTTAATGAGTAGTGCTGTTTTGAAATTAGTCTATGTAACAATTACACTTTCTGATTCATTAGGTTTTGGGATTGTGTTCAGGGTAAATGTGCTAACCTCTGAGTGAAAAATACATTCTCATTTTTTTTCCCAGCTTCTCCTGTTCCTCCACACATTTGTCATTTGTATGTCTGCTCATATTCAGACAGCCTGATGCCTGACTGGTGTCTGGATTAGGTACAGGAAATATTTCTCTTTACTCACTGTATATAGTGCCAGGTGGAATGAATCACTCAGTGCTCCCTTGAACTCAAGCTCCACAGTAGCTGTGATGACTAACTTGGTAGTATGACTTTGGGCAATTGTGCTTGTACCCACACACAAAAAAATCCCCTGCCCTCCCAC